TTATAAGTCTCAACGTAGTTCCCTTAAAAAAATAACAAACACAAAAAACCCACAAAATAAAAATTTTAAAAATTAAAAACTATTTTTTTTTTTCAAGTAAATCAGCGTAATAGGTCAAGGCTGAGGACACGGACACGGGGTGTGACGGAAATCATTAACCGCCACGTGTTTTGATAAGGATGACGCAGGACCGTTGTTATCACTGACCCAAATCCTTAATGACATAGTAAGTTCCCATTAAGGCCAAGTGATGATATGGTCAAATAATATGGCCCAAAACGGTGCTGTCGTCAGGAAACCACCGTTAGCAGCCGTTGATAAAATTTGATGTGAATATTTTCAATTGTAAAGGAGGAATTTAAAAAATGAATTAAAGTAATATAGGGAGAATGAATGAGTGTTAAAGCTTGTGTTTTCACTTGTATTTTGCATGGTAAAATAGGAAATTAAGCTACACAGGCTTAGGTTTAAACGCATTTTCCGTATTCTCCTACACCTCTTAATGATAAAACTTAATGTATTCTGTTCATACATAGTATTAAAATTAAATTGAAACACTACTGGCTTGGTAGCTGAGTGGTTATCGTGCTCGACTAACAATCAAAAGGTTGCCGGTTCGATCTGAGAAAAAGAGAAAAGTCAGTAGCTTTTTGATGTTTCAAACCTGAAATCAGCTGTTCCTGATCATTGAGCTTTAAATAAATGACCCTGGCTAATGAAACAGCTGATCTTAGTCAGTAACAAAGCAATCACACAACATCATCTTTTTACACCCACCCTTCACTCATATTTGGGTTAAATAATAGAGATCGATGGTTGAAATACACACATAGGTGACGCCACCATCTCAATGATTTATAATAGTTAATCGTCTCATATTATAAAACAGTTAACAATTGTATTGACAAAATAACCCGTTCAAGATTCTCCTGTCAAAGCTGGATACCCTGATCATACTATTACACACGTTAAAATCTCATTACCAACTAGATTTATATATTTATGTGTACCTATATAATAATCAATGAAGTTAAAATTTTTGATTTTATGTGTTTGCTAATTTTAAAATTTACTGTGGTTTTACACTACAATAGAGCAGTAATGTTTTCTTAGAATACAAAGTTGTGTTTTTGAATCCATCCAAACTAATAATGTGCAATAATGTACAAAAAAAACTTAAACATTGACTGGTGATGTGATATAAAAATAATTAGAAACCTTTAAAATAAGAAACATACATTTAATTATTTGTAACTTCCATAATGTTCTGTCTAAGTAACAAGCCCTATTAGCAAAATTGCAGACGTTGAACCTAAAGTTATAAAAGGAGAAGTTACATGGGTTGTTCAAGTTGTACACACATTATACATTTTTATGTAATATCCAAGTTTATGTTCTGTCCAAATGAAGGCAGTAAAGTTATTCCATTTATCTCTAAATGGAACAATGTTTTGCAGGACTTTACAACATTGTAAATCTAGCAGTTTGACATGAGGATTTAGTTTTATGGATAGTTACTGATGTCGACGAAACATAAAGAACTCTTACAAAAAGGATTGAAAGATTCTATCGTTGGTCTTTTTTTGTTTTTCAACAAAATAAATTATGAATATATTTAATTTGGTAGTTTGTTTCTATTCTTTTATATTATTTCGTACTATATAAGTTAAATCATTTTATAATATACATTTGTAAGGTTATCTGTATTAAAATTGTGCTATTTTCATATTTTTTAGCATTAAGCATTACTTCTTCGAGATTTAAAACTATGTAAATACAAACATTGAAAAATATAAACAGAAATACTATGAACAATTAACTATTGATTTCTCATTTGTTTATATTGAATCTAAAAGATGAAGGTTTAAATTAGATAGTCTTATATAGTAATTTAATTCAGAAATAAGTAAATTCTTTGTAAAGAAATTATTTCTGCAACTATTTTTCTTTATAAAAAAGAATATTTTTATTTTTTCTCATTTACCTTAAAATCTTAAAAGAGACATTTATTTTTTGGTCAACTTGCTTTATACAATATTTATTTGGTTCACTTTTTCATAACATTACCTAATACCAAAGGGTTCAAGTGTAGGAAATAGACATTTTCCTTAAGATACGTGTACATTATTATAACACTATTTTGGAATAGGACTATTTTTGAAAACAAATAACTCCATTATAAAGTGTCATAAATTAGATGATATTTAGTTTACATATACTGTACATGTGCTTTCTGGCATTTTCTGTTACGCTAATGGTATTATGTTTGTTAGAAGCAAACCAAATTGTAATGGTATCTTATGAAAAAAATTACAGAGGCAATACTAACTTCAACACTTATAAACTAAATGGGTATGGATTTGAAAAGCCAGTAATTAAAAATATTGTTAATTACAGTTTAAAGTTGTATTTTGTAAGTTTGATTTTTGTAACAAATCATCCATTGTAAGAAAAGTAATATGATTGTTAGATTCATAAAAATTATAATTACACTTCATTTTGGATCCCAATAACACGTACAGTCTGGAGTAAAACTAACTGTATACGTTCCACAAAATTATAATCTGAATTTAGCATATTTCACGTAGAAAATCTAAACTAATAACTTTATGGTGTTCATTACGTATGCAAATATATATTCCTCTACGTTATGTACATTTAAAATTATAAATCCAGAAATTCCTTACACTGACAAACTGAGAGAAATAAATCTACGAGTAGTGTAGGTACAGTCCCTGATAATATCTTGGTAATTTATACACCCTAACATGAGATAGCGCCAGTTCAAATTGCATTCACGTTTAACTTAAGGTTTAGAGCGGCCGACTGTTTAATAAACATACCCTGCATTCGGGTATTACATTTCGTTCTTATTAAATGTAAATTGTGCTATTCTTTACCCCGGAAAATTAAAGCGTTTAAGTCGTTTCAAGATTACGTTTTAATGCTTATATACTGTTCTGTTGTGTAGTTGGGCTAAAATATCGCCTTGCTGAAATTACATTTTGTACAATAAAAGGGATTTAGTGGTATGTTGTTTATGTTTTGTATGTGTTCAGTATAGTATAGTGTACATATGGAACATTCGTGGGTTTAGAGTCGTGAGGGGACAAAGGTTTTGGGAGTACTTTGTTATTAGTTACTTAATTATTTTTGTTTTTAGACAGCAGTTTTTCCTAAATAGGAATAAGTCTACACAGCAGAAAGTACGCGAAATCTCTACATTAAACCAAAAATTCCCGCCGTAACAAACCTGCAGAATTAATTTCCATTGTTGTGGGTATAAACTACACGTTTTCCTTAAGAATGTCAGATTTATTCCTTAGTGCATTTGGGTTTAATAAGTACTCAGGTTTGCTGCTTTCTGTATAAGGAAAGTTCTCTAGAATAGAAATAATTCTTTGCCACTGTCAGCTTTTATAACCAAGGCAGACTTCGGACCTGAAGGTATCTTTCTATCGAGCCCCAACCTTCCTGGTTTGAGTTAGATGTTAGTGGCATTGAAATATTTTATGTTAGTTGTATAGTGTACCGTTTTGAACTGTTGTTTCTTGGGCCAATAAGACAAGCCTGCCGTGGAATAGAAAAAAATCCACTTTGATGTGATCACTGAAGTCCTTTGGACGCTTGGGTTAAACACTGTTAATTTATTTGTGTTGTTTTGAATGTTTAAAATAATGTTTGATTACATTTCAAGGGAGGATTTTTTAAGTTATTGTAACCATAAGCAGATTCATAATCTACAATAAGAATGTTTAAGCTCACTCCAGTGCTATTAGGGCCTAAGGACCATTATAAGGTTATATCATAGCCTACGAATAAGGTCATTATAGCCTACGGATTGACAACAAAATTAGATAAGCCAAAATCAAACATAAAAAATTAGAGGTTAATACTGTAATGGTCTGTATGGTATAATGTATGTAATCATTTGAAATTTAAAATAAAGGTTATTCTTCGTAGGCAATTTGTTCAACCCAGTTTATTTAGCAACCTACTCCAGTAGCAATCAAGTTTTCGTCCTTTTTACCGCCGTTAAGGTGCATTGTCCCTGAAGCGACTCTTGCGATAGTAGCTGAGCGACAGTAGCTGAGCGATAGTAGCTCAGCGATAGTAGCTAACCATGTCATTGTCCCTGAAGCGATTGTTCTAGAGCGATTCTGTATATTATTAGTTTGCTGACTTTCGAGTGAATTGGTGCTATGAGTGCCATGACACCTCCTAATTTTAAAACTTTTTACTAGCTCGCTTTTTTGTCCGGTACAAACTTTGCAATAAATTTTAAACTAACTTCCCGACGAGCTAGAGAAATGAAACTAGAGAACACAGCTCACAAATGGATGACAATGTAATACTATAACATTTAATTTTCATATTTTCCTTGGGCTAAGCCCCATGGGCTTTCAAATTTTCCATGTTTACATTTTGAAGTCAGCCGTAAATACTTAAATTCGACAGTTCGAAAAGCTTGGGTAGAGGTACAGGTTCTGCTCCCGAGAGATTCTAAATATAAAATAAGCAGTTCAAAGGAAATATAAAACATATGACTTCAGATAATAAGGGTTTGGTATGTATTAACAGCCCATATAAAATGATTTAACATATTTACACATTAAAGACTAAAAAGTAGAAAATAAATTATAAATAAAAATCTTTTTTTTTTAATGCCACGTTTTTAAACGCACTAAAAAGTAAAAATAATTTATAAATATGTGGAGGGAAATACTTAAAATATTTAAAACTAAAAACGTGGGGTGCATGCAATAGATAATAATAGTTCAATAGGTAAAGGTAATTGTAAATCAGCATGCGCCCACGTTTTTTTTTTATCTTACAAGTATTTATTCTCCCCACATATTTATAAACTATTTTTTACTTTATAGTGCGTTTAAAAACGTTGCATTTTTGAAAAGTATTTTCATTTATAATTTATAATAGTAGCGATTTAATATTACGTACATATCTGTTAGGGGTAAAAAACAGTTTTGTTTTCTTTTAAGACATTACGAGCAAAACAAGTCTACACACAACACGAATCGCTCAGCGACTGCGACTCTGTCTGCCCTCAGAGCAGACCCGCTACAGTCGCTGGGTTCAGCCGCTAGCCGCTCCAGTCGCAGTCGCGTCAAGGACAATGGTCCCATTTGAAACAACGCTAACCAGTGCTCAGCTACTATCGCTGAGCTACTATCGCTCAGCTACTATCGCAAGAGTCGCTTCAGGGACAATGCACCTTTAGATGGTATCAGAGCCGTGTTGCGCGGCAGTTTCGATTGCGCCCCACATTTGATCTGTCTGATTACGCTTTCCTTCATTCTACCCAACAATAATTGTATATTTACGATCCAACGTGAGTAGAGTCGTGCTCGAACACTATATCCGACACGATCAGGCCGCGTAATTTACTTTCTAATTACGTTTTTATCGCTAAATAAGGTTTTAAAATGTTGCGTAGTCTAGGTTTAAGGTTAGGTTAGTAATAACCATCGCATACAGCTCAACTAGATTGACTCACAGCTTTAGAAAACAAAAAACACGGTGACATATTTATGTACAGTACGTACCCCAAATTGTTTGTAAATTGAAATGCATTTCAAACGTAAATTCTCTTTGAGGTTTACAAACAGGCTGTAAAGAAAAATGCCATTGAGGATGGTTGCTGATTTTTCATTTCTTTATTTTAAACTAGCTGTAACCCGCGGGCTTTGCCCCGTTTAACTTCTTAATTTTCAAGATTATCTTGTTCGCATGGCTCAATCACGTCCTGGTTGAAGTTTGTTCGCTACGCTCACTCACCTTTAGGTTGGAGCTCGTTCGCTGCGCTCACTTGCCTTCAGGTTAGCTCGTTCGCTACGCTAACTCGCCTCCAGGTTGAAGTTCGTTCGCTACGCTCACTCACCTTTTGGTTGCAAATTAGCTGTTGTCATAAATGTAAAAAAAATAGTGCTGCACCCTGTTGGTAATCCTTGTAACTTTAATGCTATTGAACATCATAGAACAGAACCAACTTGTTTAATTGAAACAGCTGTTAAGATTCAATAATTCCATTTCTCATAAGGTTAACATGGGAAACTCCAGAGCCACTGGGGCGGAGCCCGAAAGGATTTTTGAAATAAGAATATGCCTATATGTTAATCGGGAATGTGAGCTATCATCATGCCAAATTTCAGCCCAATCCGACCAGTATTTTTCGCGTTCACTTGTCACAAACATACATCCATACATCCAAACTTTCTCATTTATAATATTAGTAGGATTCTCACCTGTCAGTGTACATCTAAAATAGTGTCAGTGTGTCATTTTGAGAAGTTTCGGGTTAAATATATTGTCTATGATAGGCCTACAAACTCGACTTGTTGTAGTCTAAATGTATTTTTCTACAACTTAATTTATTTTCGACATTCATTTTATTATCTTTTATGTCAGTTCTCATTGGATTACTGATGTACGATTATCTATAAACACAGACGTGTTGTTACACTATAAGAGTCATTCCTTCGGCCCCGAACTAGCAATGGATTTGCTCACCTAATAATCAAGAAATCCTCGAATCCAAGAAAGGTCAGTATCTTTCGGATAGTTCGAAATCGACTTTACTCATGATATACCAGTGGAACTTCTTATTCACTGGTGAACGCCATTTTCACTCAGCTACTCCAGCCATACTACTATTGTACTTGTATGAAATATCGTTTCTTTAGCTATTTGATATGCATTCCATTCTCCCATTTACTTTTAGGTACCTTGGTACACATCGAATCAGTGATCTTCTGATTATTACTACTCCATCAAGAGTTTAGATTTTTTATCCCCTTGGCCTATACGTAAAAATTTAGAAACATTGAATATTACTTGCTAATATATCAATAAATTCTACTCATCTACCCAGCACTTTTTAAGCACTACTGGACTACTGATGTGGGCAATGATCTAAAGACAAGTACTTGGTCAAGATTCGGACGGGTTTGAACCAGCAATGTTGCTGCCCACGCTACTTCTGAGCCATCGTGAACTCGCAAATTGTGTCTAGGGTGATCAATTTTCGGGCAATTTACTCCAAAACTTTCTTCAGGACTAACAAGATGAAGAAATGTCACAGAAGCTGATCGTCTGCGGCTGCGGGAGTCTGCCCCCGGGGGTGGGGGACCGTTAGACTACAGGTGGGGGCGGCCCCGGAAACGCTTTGGGTGTGAGTATCCGCTCCTCACGCTTGGCTCGCTTGCAAGCACGCACCTCACAAATCAATACATGACAAGCACCGTGACGTGAGATGACTCGGTAAAGATACAGGTCGCGTGTGTGTCGAGTGGTTCCTATAAGATTTGGAAATAGAAGTGGTCCTAGAGCGCAACCTTGGGGTACTCCGATACTAACAATGGATTGTGCTGTGCTCTATGAAGTTTATTAATGGTAGATTGGTAGATATGATTGTAGGGAATTTGTGTGAGTTTTTCCAGTGTATGTTAAACATTGTAATATGCTTATACATGTCATTGTAAATTACCTTACCGTGTGACAGTTGGGTAAACATACTTGCATAAACGGATAAAAAAAACAAATTATCTTTTGATATAACCGTGTTCAGTTTTGCCAATCAAACTCGTGTTTTGATCACTATTGTCTTTTACTACGATGTTAAATTATGTCTAATCATATTATTCTAAAACCTCTGAATAATCGTAATAAAACATACACCACATTAACTTTGATCAAAACTTCCCAAATGCATCACTCACTATATCCTAGTCACTGAGCAGTATTGAATAGTATAACCGTAAATCCTACACAAAAATTGCATACCTAAAACCCCACCTCTTATCAACACTTGCCGATTGCGTCAGCGCGCCATCTCCTAGGCGATCAGCGGTAGAAATACAGCGTAAAATCGGCATGTACCGCCTAGCAAGCATACCTCACTATAACACTATCTGACCGCCATCGGGCCGCAGGCATTAGCATCACAAATTATCGGCAACGACAGTTGCTGGATCGTGTACGTCGACTCTGATCCCATCGATGATGGTACGTTGCCGAGTTGGGTTTCAGTTCAGTCATTCCACTCCTTATCAGCTGTTTACGGCCAGTATAAAGTCATTATCGGAAGAGTGAAATTGCCCGCGTCTTCACTAAGTGTTATGGCGTTATCGCTTCGGCGGATTTAAGGAAGGGAGCTCAAATTGTTTGGGTAGATGGAATCGTGTATGGGAAATCATTCGTTACTTTCTTATTACTACTTTCTTATTATTAGTTTACGGTCTCTAACCCGTTGTTACACTTTAACAGGTGTATTTCAGATTTTAAACATTATTTCAATGCCAGTACTTTCTTCAGATATAACATAGATTAAAGGAGTAGACACACTTAATGTATGGATATTTTATGTAATATCAAAGCCATCTCAATGGCCAAAACTATTTATTAAAGTAGTAGAAACTTTATTTATTTGTTATTCCTCTTAGAAATTAGAAAATTTGTATTGTTTGCTAAACTAGACGAAATGTTGCACTCAAATGAATCAAAATCATTTACTAGACCAAACTAACAGTAAAACCGAACTTATCCATGAGAATATATGACAAACTCTTTCTATACTCAATTAAACAGAGTTTACTAATATTTAGAAAAATACTTTTCCACTTTTAAACCATCGTTAAGAACTAAGCACTTGAGACTTTATTTACACAGAAAAAGCCCCATTAGTCACGCCTGTTCAACGAATTAACGCATACGGTACTAAAAAAACTATCCCAATTACTGTTTAACTTCCTTTCGCTATGTTATACGTAGTAATATTACGTACAAACGTATCAAATCTCCGAAAGGGAAAAGTTTTACTCTTTCCACTGCAGCCATTTTCCGTCGTCGATTTTTATCCATTACCTAAACAGTTTTCAAAATCATTCCACAAGGAAATTGCACTGTTGTAACGCACCTACGGCTTAATCTCATGCAATATAATCATCCGTGTAATGCACTTTTGTAATTCTCATTTCAATAAACATGAAACCCATTTCACAGATTGGCCTATCGCAGCAGATAATGATCTAACATCAGAAGCTTGTAATAGAATCAATCAGCTGTTCTTGTGCATGCAGTAGCAGTGGCGTGTTAGTGGGGCGTATAGGGATCGAGTATAATAGAGCGATACGCTATTTTGCAGAGGGGATATAGTTTAGGCCAATGCATAACCGTAGAGTCAAAGAAGAGACTTTATAATCGAAGGGTTATACAATTATATGATGACACATTCTGAGAGTCGTATAGGTATAGATTTAGATATTATTCAGGACGGTATATTCATCGGTCTCCACTAACTTATGTGTTGTAGGTCGATGGGTATATCTCGTAGGGATAGAGTACGATAAGATACCCAAACTGTATCATGGGACAGATATGTAGGCTGATACGCCAACTGTAATATTGTATAGGTTAGTGTAGAGTACTTAGAAAATATACAAATTGCCCTCCTCAAAGGGATAGAGTTAATAGAATGATGCAATAACGATAGGTCGTATGGGAAATAGGATAGACAGGAAGAACGAGATCGATTCGAACTGTGTGTTTTTTCGATAGAGCAGAATATAGCCCATACTATATGTTGCATAGAGATAAACGTTATGAAGATACACCCTTTGATGTATATAAGGTTATATACATCGATGGATACACCAATAGTAGGCCTATATCGTTTAGTGCCAAAGATAGAACAAACTGTAGGCCTAATGTTTTTTAGAAGAGTAAGATAAGATGCGCTGAATGTATACATTTTATACAATGTGTACGATAGGGGGGGGGGGTAAACTTTTAGTACGTTTAGAGGTAATACATTCATGAAAGCACAAAACATACGTCAAATAACACGTATAATAATAATATATTCACACTTATACTGTTTACTCACATGACGGTAAATACATATAAAAGATGGTAAGTGGTGATCGATTTCGATTGGACACTCCAATCATCATCGGACCCAATAGGCGACTGGACGAATCATTCGCCTATTGGGTCTATTGATAAGTATAGGAAGTATGCTTAAGTACAATAAGAATGTCCATTCATTAGTGTTATGGAAAAGATAAAACCATGCTACATCTTAGGCATAGTGCGCAAATGGAGTGTGTGATGTACCCATAAACTAACTGTAT